AAAAAAAAACAATTGTTTATTAATTTGAGGAATCGGCTATAAACGCGTATTCTAAGCAAATGTTGAGTAACAAAGACGTTTAGTGGGCTGTCAAAACATTCTACTGTAGTGTTTCGTTATAATATGGGCAGACTTGAGAAATACATGTGACTGCTCATCGACGTGGCGCCCCATGCTGTGCTCTCGCCGCCGTTCTTCACCTACTTTGAACTCGTCCTCATACCGCGGCATGTAGGGCAAATTTGTTGATGGTAGAAGTAACTCTACCATGTGGTGGACTACAGACGGATTCTTTTACCTTCTGAAGGTTAAACACCCATATCCGAGGTACATCTACTCGGCACACCTCAGTAAAGCGAAATCCATGGAACGACAGCGTCTTTCAAACAAAGCGGCATTGAGTAGTGATCTCAACCGATGTTGCACGCGTAGTATTGTCCAGCAATAATAAATCCATTACCCGTCCAATTTTCTTATTCTGAATCATTAGTCGCTCTAAGTTTAATCTAACCATTTAAATTTGTTGAATAAGTGACGAATTTTTAATGTTACCGGGAATGGGATTGAATGGGATTATTGGAGTTCTCGAATCGTAGAGGTATGCTAAGTTGTAGACATTTCCAAGCGCTGAGGCAATATATTGTACATGTAATGAAAGGCTGTTTTTTGGTGTCGTATCAGTTCGTGCATAGACTCATTCCATTTAGGACAAAAGTTTTACGCAACAGAAAATGTTCTCTCCACTCCAATTCTGCAGCAGCAGCAGCAGCTTATCTAGAAAGCATCTTGTGCGGGTGAGGATCGGAAATCGACATCACACAGTGAACCCCATTTTACTCCTTACCGTCACACAGATATCCTGTCCGATAAATCGCCTTCTTTTCCTCTCAAAACAATATTTTTTTTCCAAAATTTGGTACATCTGGAGGACATCGAAGTAATTTTCGGGAAAAGGAACGATTAGCGAACCAAGAACTACAGGAACCAGAGTAGAACTTCAACCACAGATAATGATGTTGAATTTTTTTAATCATTAATTTTTGGCTTGCGAAAAGGGATGCACAGCATGAACTGTCGAGCACCAAAAATTATATGTGCAGGAAGTGCCCATAAGCGTGTCGAACGTGCATTGACAAGGGATTCACATTCTTATCTCTGCACCTGACCTGATACAAGGAAAGAAAGTGCAATTATTGTGCCTGATTTGCTACTACAACAGGATATTTTATATGCCAAAAATCTGTTGGAATTCATAATGGGAGATTGAGTAACATTTTCAACAATTAAATTGGCAATATCCACGACATCGGCAAATGAAGTGCAATAATAGGGTAACTTCGCGAGATGTATAGAATTCATGACTCACTTGCGTCATGAACGTCTTAATGTCAGCCACAACATCTTATGTGAGGAATTGCTTCTACTTCGTGCTTTTAGATATTCGAATGCTGCTATTTATTCCCCATTGTGCACGTTAACTTCTCTTGAGGTATTTCCTGAGTTTGAAGAACCTCCTATCTGGCTGTCTAAATGCAATAGACGACGAAAATGTGCGGAATTTAACCGAGCTCGCTCTGAACACAGACTGCTGTCGGTGGTATAGCCGTGATTGCGCAATCTGGCGACAATAAGGTCTACAAAACCAGATTTCGCACAAATTCATGCAAACAGTCATGATGTGAGAAATAACGAGAAGGGGAAAACGCTTCCGCAACATTGAAGACTCGCGGGACCTCGTGAAGCAAAATCAAATTCCATGCTTATTTTAGTACTGGTTTTATTGAACGGCAAATATGGGATAATTCACATGTGATGAAATAAATGGAAGGCTATACTCAACTGAGTAATCAGAGCAATATTTTTGGAAAACTTGGAAATTAAGAAAGGGTCACTGTAACAGTTCTAGCAACTTCCTTTTTGTCGCGTTGCAAACTTTAACGCAGGAAATGAAATTCTAACTGAAAGGGGCCAGTATGAAAAGCCGACGACGTTGAGATCAAGCATCACTAGGCAAAGTTAATCCCTGTTGAGTATAAGATTTACCCAGCCTACTAATCTCAGAAAACGGCACATTGGTACAAAACTAAATCAAGTGAACTCTGGAATGCATGGCACAGTTTTGCGGAATAATAGACATTCATTAAAGTTTAGGCAAGTAAAACTACTCGGAGGCAGGTATTTGATGAGGAAAGA